TATTTGTGAATTCTTGTGATTAATGTGCCTTGAACGTTGTTGGTTAAGTCTTACGATATGATGGTGCAAGTAAATGGAAACAAATCAAATGTGGGTGTGTGATTGTGAAAGTGTTATGTGGAAAGAACTGAGAAACAAATGATGGAAGGAAATCGTAAAAGATGCACTTGGAACAACTGTGGTAATAACATATTTGGCTTGTTGTGGGTAATTATTGTGGTGACTTAAATTGCATATGAGTTGTTGAATATAATGAAATGGTATTGATGGCTACGGAAATTCTTGTGAATTATTGTGGTTGTTCTTTGAGAATTGTTGTTGTTGTTCTTGTGAATTGTTGTTGTTGTGTGTTGTTTGTGAATTGTGATTGTTCGGTGGGATCGGGTTGCGCGCCGCAACACGAAGTAATAAGGTGTGAGTTGTGGTGATAAGGGTGGCCGAGGTAATAAGGGTGGTCGAGGTAATAAGGGTGGAAAGTGATCGAAATCACTATTGAAATAAAAATATGAGAAAATTGTGAAATCATTGATGTGATAATGTTGAAGGGGAAAAAGAGAGATTGTGAAACTTGTTTGGCTTTGATTGTTTCTTTCACGTGCATTTGATCGTTGATTTTATTGATGTCTGTTACTTGTGTGTTATTTGATTTTACTTGGGGTAAAGTTTGTTTATACATACCAGTACAATTCAAATGTACTGACGTCCCTTTTGCCGGGGGCGCTACATTCGTGTTATGATTGTAGGTGGTTCTATAGCAGGTACTCCAGTCCACCGACAGTAGCACCTTATCCATTTTCCGTCAGCTGTATTGGTGAGCCCCTTTCCTCTCGGGGCCCTGTGTGGCTCATGCCGCTCTTCTTCCCGGAGTCTTATTTTGGTATTTGTGTAAGGTATAGCCGGAGCTTTGTTGCCGGCATTTCCATATTATTCTTTAGTTGTAGTTAGAGGCTCCGTAGACAGGTTGTGGGTAGTGTTGAGCATGGAAATTTAAAATAGAAATATTGATGTTTGGAAATGATGTATAAAACTTCTAATACCTTTAATATTGCGAATGAAGTTGCTAATGAAAATGAAATGGAAATCGTTAATGATATGTTTATAGAATTTGATTAATGGAGTCCATCTCCTAGTTATTCATGAGCTAGAATGGGTAGAAGGAGATCTAACAGGCTTGCTCAGTCGGGTTTACTCGGTTGAGCGCCGGTCGCGCTCCTCGGATTTTGGGGCGTGACAATGTTGTGGTTCTTCCTACTCATTTTTCCTACTTGCATCTCTCTCCCTGAAGTGATTCTTAGCTCGATCACTGAGAAATTCTCGAAGGTGACCCTCGTTGAACAACTGAGCTACCTCCACCCTTAGTTTCCTGCAGTCTTTAGTTCTATGACCATTTGTGCCATGATACTTACACATCAAATTTGGATTCCTTTGAGAAGGATTGGTTTGTATAGGCCTGGACCACTTGGTGTCTTTGATTCTTCCAATAGCTGACACGATCCCTGATGCGTCTACACTGAAATTATACTACGACAATCGAGGTGCCTCCACGGGGTCGGTGTATTTATTGAACCCATTCTTGCTCATGAGTCCCCGAGAGCGTTGACCTCGATCATTTCTCCGATCATTCCGAGGAGTGTTACGACCCGAGCCGTTGTTTCTCCGATCGACATACGGCTGATACCGTTCCTTGTTTGACCTTGATTCCTTGTCTGTATCCCTCGAGGGCTTGGCTGCCAATCGATTAGGGTGAACTGAACCCGTGGGGGCTCTCAACTGGTCGCCCTCGACCTTGATTTTTGATTGATAACGATTATGCACGTCCGACCATGTCACAGCTGGATACCCGATCAGATTCTGCTTTAATTGTCGAGACGCAATCGAACTCCTTTCGTTCAAACCCCACATAAAAGCTTGCACTGCCCAGTTATCCGAGACCGGTGGTAATTTCATTCGCTCCATCTGAAACATAGACACGAACTCCCTCAACATCTCGTCGTTCCTCTGTTTTATCTTGAAGACGTCCGATTTCCTCATCGCCATCTTTATGGCCCTGGCATGTGCTTTCACAAAGGCGTCTGCTAACATAGCAAATGAATCAATGGAGTTCGGGGGCAAGTTGTGGTACCAAATCATGGCTCCTTTCGAAAAAGTTTCCCCAATTTTTTTTAACAATACTGACTCGATCTCATCATCATTCAGGTCGTTTCCTTTAATCCCGCATGTATATGGTGAGCTCTTCTAGCATTCTCATAATAGTGGGGTCAGTCCCCGAGCCATTTTCGTTCGACCTCTCTGGCGCCGGTTCAGCACGTCGAGTGTTTTCTGGTTCAGCTATACTCAGAGTTTTATTCCGACTCTGAAGTTGAGCGATGGCAATCTGCTGAGCTTGCAGCATCTCGAATATAACTTGGAGGCTAACTCCCCCATCTCCTATACCTTGTGTTCCTTGGCCCCCAGATCGGGCCTCTCTGCGTACACTTCCTCCGGGGTCTGCGCCTAAATCTACATTCAAAGCAATGTGCGAACTAACATCAACTGGTTCAATATTTGGCACTTCCCCAGGGCTTATCGGTGGTACACCGACCCCTACATTGTTGTTCTCCCCATGAAATCCAAGACCTTCATTGTCATGAACAGGTGCGTTTTGCGAGTTTGACATGTTTAATTCTAAGAATCAAAAAATCTTTGACAAGAAAAAGTGTAAAAATAACGTGTGTTATGTGAATTAGTACTGAAATAATCACTATTATCTCAGCTTACTTTTTCGAAACTTAAGTGAATAGGCAAACACCAGTATTTCTGAGTAGGCAATTGCCCAATTTAGGAATTTGCATTGTTACATGAATATTTTTCAATGGTCAAATACATAGACAAGTAACAATTAAATTTGATTTGTGGTTTTAAAGATATGTGATTTAGTTCAATACCAATTAATAATCAAGATGTATAAAGTATAGATGAAAGAAATGAGTAAATCCAACCGGTGTTATTAGACAGTATCGACCTCGAGCTCAGTGACCTCGAGATGAATCAAGAGCAATAAAGCAATAACAATAAAGCTAAAGGACAATTCTGATGAACAATGAGCGAAAAGTAGAGAGTATATTCTTTGACAATAATTAGATGATGTTTACAAATGATTGGGGTCCCCTTTATATAATAGGGGAGTCCTAAATAAGGTACATTTCCATTTACAGTAGGGAATCTTATTGGGACAACTGTCTAACCGCCTAGTACGGAATCGTACAATTTTATTCCGGGATTTGCGCCATGATTTTGGGGACTTGGAAGGAATCTCGCCCATTCTGTTACAAATCCATAACGACATTAATTCGGGGTTGAGCATACTCGGCTTCGATTCTCATCATACTTTGATCCTCGGGCATTGCACTCTACGTTCGAGCTCAAGTCTGGTCCATCAAGCTTGAACTCGACCTTGCCTGAACTCGGGCTTATGGCGACCCCTCGAGCCCGGGAAATCGGGCATACCTGATTTTGACCGTATACAGACATGCACCAGAACTTGACAGCACTTTTCACTTGGACGCTAGAATTCATTTCAAAATGTACCAATTAAACACAAAACTATGACATGGAAAAGAAAGTATTTCTCAGTCTCCTTGAGCGCGTGAATGAAACAAACAAATGCATTTGACCACAAAAAACCTATTTTCACACCAAACAAACTATGTTCCATCATCTTCTCCATTTTTTCACCATATTAGCTCCTTCACTATCTTAAACCTTCCTCCTCCATAATAATACTCCAATAAATCATCTTCTCCTTATAAATTACCGCAGCAGCAACCATTTTTCATTTATCTTCACCAACCCACTTATCCAAAATTTCTCCTCCAACCACCATAATATTTCACTGTCATAACACCAAAAAGTAAATAAAGCAGCAGGAAAAAAATCAACAAGCAGAACTATCAATCTCAAACAAAGACAACTAAGAAGCGGTGAACAAATGAGGCCAACATCCTAATAAATAGAATAAAATTACTTGGCCATTGTTCTGTAATTTTGATGTTTTTGCGGAATTTCTTGGCTTAATTAAGGAGTTTGATAAATGGGTTTTATGAACTTTATGCTTTGGAGTTTGGACATGTTCAACTCCACTTGCCAGACGATATCAGGCGACGAAAATTGGACAACGAAGAGGGAGCAGTGGTGACGTCGGCGACGAGATTGGTGACGTCGGCGACGAGATTGGAGACGTCGGCTGGTGGGGAACGTTGGAGGTTGGGGACGAAGGGGGTATTGTTTTACTTTATCTTTCTTATCTCAAGAAAGCTTTTAATTTTTTTTTTTTTTGTGTCAAAACCATGTGACTTTTTTTAATTGGACTATTTTGCCACGTCATGCGCGTGTAATTCACCCAATATATCCTTTTGGGGTTAGTACTTTTGTGTTTAATTGACAAAGTATAAAATGGGTTCTAATATCTAATAAGAAATAGGCTAACTTTAAGAGAAGTGTTGCCAAGTTTCAGTGTCTGTCTATGTATTTGGTCTTTTTCAATCTTACTTTGTTAAAGTTATAGATAAAGTTTTGATAAGTTAATATATATTTAGTAAAAATTAAAAAAAATTGACAAACATGTGATTTATTAAAAAATTCTTATGGGAGAATTTTTTCTAGTAACACATGATAGTTATTTTTGTAGTTATCTATCAATAATTTTTCGTTAATGTACGCTTTCAAGGTTAATCGAATTTAATAATTAAACATAAAAATCAAGATGATACTTAAGTAATGATATATTCTATTTAATTTTAAATTATCGAAATACCATTTCAAATTCGAAAAAGACATGAGAAATTTTGACATATGAATATTAAAGAACAAAGAGATGATTGACGCATTTCAGTAACACTTGATAAGAAAGTCATACAACCCATTATTTATAGTAAATAAAAATGAATGTCCTTCATAATTCTGTTAAATATTACATCCTACGAGAGGATCTCAAATATTTCTACACATTTTTTTGAAGAAAATTCAATTTAAAGTCTTAAAAGTATATATAAAAACTATATATTTACATGTAGGTGTGATTCAGATTTTTTTACTCAATACCAAACCTAGTCGGATTTATTAATCGATTTAATTTGACTTATCAGTTTTATGTGATTTTCCAGTTCGGTTTAAATACCCCTGCATACTTAAGTGAGTAGAAATTATGTTATTATTGCTGTTTTATGAGGTAGAGATTAGAAAGTTGAGAACAAGACAATTGCCGTGTGGTATATATTGGGTATTCATCATGTGCCAAAGTGGAAGAGTTCTCTTTACGCCAACATTAAGGCTTGGTTTTAAGCTTTGGCCAGCAATTATCTTTAAGCATAATCTATGTCATGACATATTTAAATTTACAACTTTCAAAGTCTTTTTTTTTTCTAAGTCCGTCACAATTAAACATGTTTACATAAAACAAAATGAGGATATTTGTTTAAATTTGAAAAATAAAATTCTAAGTATTTATTCTAATGGTCCACTTTCTGAAAAAAACTAGATAGACCTCTACCTGTAAAATAAAAAAAAATAAAAAAGATCTTGTGAGATTTGCTTCTTTGAGGATGGTCAATGATGATATTAATAAGCTTGATTTAGAAGGGAATTGTGCATCAATTTAAACGCTGTTTTCACAAGGCAAGTGTCTCTTAATTTATCAATTTTTTTGATATTTTAGAGAAGTTAAAAGGGAGCCTTGTAGCAACAATAAAGTTATTTCTGTGTGACATATATGTCACGAGTTCGAGCCGTGGGGCAAGTGTCTCTTAACTTATCAATCTTTTTTTATCTTTTAGAGAAGTTAAAAGGGAGTCTTGTAGCAACAATTAAGTTATCTCTATGTGACATATAGGTCACGAGTTCGAGCAGTGGGGCAAGTGTCTCTTAGTTTATCAATTTTTTTTTTTAATCTTTTAGAGATTTTAAAAGGGAGCCTTGTAGCAACAATAAAGTTATCTCTGTGTGACATATAGGTCACGAGTTCGAGCCGTGGGGCAAATGTCTCTTAATTTATCAATTTTTTTTATCTTTTAGAGAAGTTAAAAGGGAGTCTTGTAGCAACATAAAGTTATCTCTGTTTGACATATAGGTCACGAGTTCGAGCCGTGGGGCAAGTGTCTCTTAATTTATCAATTCTTTTTTTTATCTTTTAGATAAGTTAAAAGGGAGCCTTGTAGCAACAATAAAGTTATCTCCGTGTGACATATAGGTCACGAATTCGAGCCGTGGGGCAAATGTCTCTTAATTTATCAATTTTTTTTTATCATTTAGAGAAGTTAAAAGGGATTCTTGTAGCAACATAAAGTTATCTCTGTGTGACATATAGGTCACGAGTTCGAGCCGTGGGCCAAGTGTCTCTTAATTTATCAATTTTTTTTTTTTTATCTTTTAGAGAAGTTAAAAGGGAGCCTTGTACAACAATAAAGTTATCTCTGCGTGACATATAGGTCACGAGTTCGAGCCGTGAAGTGCGGCTCTTATCTGTACCCTTCTTGCGGCCCTTCCCCGACCCTACGTGAATGCGGGATACCTGTGCACCGACTCCGAGCTGCCCTTTTGGTCTTTCAGATAAGTAAAAAGCATGTTCTCTTGATTTGAGGAAGCAAAACAAAGCAATCTTAGCTTTCAATGTAAGAAACAGTTAAAAGGCATTGTCCCATTACTTGTATTAAATGTGATAGGTTACTTATTGTCTTCTTGACAAGATTTTCTCCTCTGGCTACAGCAAGTATATGCTAAATGAAGCTACCATGATTATACAACATGCCATTAAAACATTAAAATAAAAGAAAACAAGAGGGGGAAAAGTAAAGAAATAAAAACTCTGCCAATAAATATGCAAACAGTATTTGAATGTCAAAGTACCATTAATTTCTCAATCAATCTATATGGAGTTCATAAAAGTAGTGTCCACATCTTTAACTCTTCCAATTCTTGCTGTTATCTTCTGTTTCTGTCTTAATAGCAGCCAATGCCATCCTTTAGACCCTCTAAATCCTACTGAGATCAACAAGATTAGAGTCATTATTCAAAAATCTCATCTTAGTTCCCTCTCCAATTTAACATTTCACTTTGTTGATCTTGAAGAGCCTGAAAAACAGGATGTCCTTCATTGGCTGTCCTTACATAAGCGCGAAAGTGTTCCTTTTCCTTATCGTCGAGCCAAGGTAGTGGTTCGTGCAAATGGTGAGACGTTTGAAGTCGTTGTAGACTTGGCTACGCGATCTATCATATCAGAAAATGTATATACTGGTCATGGTTTCCCTCCACTTACTCTCGACGAAATTGTACAATGCAGCAGGCTGACATTGAGGAATCCTAAATTTCAAGATTCAATATTGAAAAGGGGTTTGAATATATCAGAAGTTAGTTGCATACCACAGCCAGTAGGATGGTTCGGGCAGCCAAGGACACGAAGAGTACTTAACGTTCCATGTTTTTATCGCAATGGGACAACTAATTTTTGGGCAAGGCCAATTGAAGGGATCACTACAATATTAGATGTTGAATCCATAAAGATAATCAAATATATGGACAGATTCAGAGTCCCTTTGCCTGAAGCCGAGAGTGCTGATTTTCAATCATCGAGCCAGAGATCAGTCGCTTGCAATGACACAGACACAAGCCGGATTATCATCAAAGGCAATGAAGTTAAATGGGATAATTGGGTTTTTCATGTTGGATTGAACACGAGGGCGGGGACTATCGTGTCTACAGCTTCTATATTCGATGATACAAGAAAAGAATATCGACATGTGCTCTATAGTGGTCATGTATCTGAGACATTTGTGCCTTATATGGATCCTACATTTGAATGGTACTACAGGACTTTTATGGATATAGGTGAATTTGGTTTCGGAAGGTCTGCTAGTAGTCTTGTCCCGTTACTAGATTGTCCGAACAATGCAGTGTATATGGACGGATATATGGCTGATTCAGAAGGACATATAGTGCAAGTTCCCAACGCGATTTGTATATTTGAAAGATATGTTGGCGATGCTGCTTGGAGGCATACAGAAAATGGAGTACCGGGAAATATAGTAAGCGTCTAAATATAAACATTTGCATACTTACTACTATAGTTATCTAGTGACATAATCAACATTCAATTTGTTTTTGCAGAACACTAAGGGACAGCAAGAAGTTAATTTGGTTGTTAGAATGGTAGCAACAGTAGGAAATTATGATTATACACTTGATTGGGAGTTCAAACAAAGTGGAACTCTCAGAGTTGGAGTAAGAAAATTAAGATGTTATGCTTGTTAATATCCTTCTGATTTGCAATGTTTATTCTTTAGACTTCTGGAAGGGGAACCTTAGCGTAACTGGTAAAGTTGCTACCATGTGACCAAGAGGTTACGGGTTCAAGCCGTGGAAATAGCCTCTTGCAGAAATGCAGGATAAGGCTGCATACAATAGACCTTTGTGGTCCGACCCTTCTTCAGACCCCGCGCATAGCGGGAGCTTAGTGCACCAGACTATCCTTTTTTCTTTAGACTTCTGATTTGTCCGTGCAGGTAAGTTTAAACGGAGTTATGGAGACGAAGGCTGTGAAATATACGAACGATAATCAAATAACAGAGGATGTTTACGGGACCCTTGTGGCCAAAAATACAATTGCAGTTAACCATGATCATTTCCTTATTTACTATCTTGATCTTGATATTGATGGTACTGATAATTCATTCCTAAAAGCCAAACTGAAAACTAGAAGAGTGAAGGACTCAAAAATTTCACCTAGGAAAAGTTATTGGAAAGTTGTTAAGGAAACTACGAAAACAGAAAATGAGGCTAAGACACACCTAGGACTAGAACCAGCTGAATTCTTGATTGTAAATCCAAATAAGAAAACAAAGATTGGACATGATGTATCTTATCGACTAATACCTAGTCGACCAGCCATGTCGTTGCTATCATACGACGATTATCCTCAACTTCGAGCAGCCTATACAAAGTATCAATTGTGGGTGACACCATACAACAAATCAGAAAGGTGGGCCGGAGGATTCTACACTGATAGGAGTCGAGGAGATGATGGCCTACCAATCTGGAGTCGCAGGTAACTATAGTATGTAACAGTCAAGCCCACTAGTGATATTGTTTGCATTAGACCTAAGTCCACACAACTTTAAAACGCATCACTAAGGTCTAAGACGTCTTTATATAAGCTGGTTTTCTGTTTTATATATGCAGGAATAGGCCTATTGAAAACAAGGATATTGTGCTTTGGTACACTGTTGGACTCCATCATGTACCATGTCAAGAAGATTTTCCTGTAATGCCTTCATTTTATGATGGTTTCGAGCTCCGGCCAACAAATTTCTTTGAAAGAAATCCATTGCTGAAACAATGATATACCTTGATAAATTGATATATAATTTGAGCAAGTGCAAATTTCAAGTTCTTCTATTAAACAGTAACCTTTTAACTCTACTATATAAAGTGTACTAGTAAATTTTGTTGTAATTTATATGGAGAACAAAAGATGATCTTCTTTAGCCTGTTTATTTTCCTCTCTCATTTCGATATTTGGTTGACATGTAGATCGATATGCACAAGTACGTAGGTGACAACTCGCCTGAAAGACGACCATCCCCTTACATTTTCGATGTGAAACAACATGTACCTCACACGGCTGATAATGAGATACAAGTTGTGTGAGTGTTGCCTATGTTTTGACAATTTGAATTTGTGGGACCCGAAAACTTCTATAACATAGATTTGGGTCCACATATTTCACTCGTCAGACATAGACAATCCCCTCACATAATATGTCAGTTGTATAAGGCACAAAGTAAAGTTTCTCTAGAAATATGTATGTGCGTGTTGGGTAATAAAACAATCAATTTGCACAAAGTATAAAGCAAAAAACAACTTTTATAGATTAAATTTTTCTTTTGCAAACAAAACTGGAGACAAAATTTGATATAAGGATAGGCAGATAGGAAGAAAGAAAAAAAACAACAACTAACAATCTTTTGATAACAAAATAGCCAATCTAGAATAGTTTCTTCCAAACAGGATGCTTCATCCAAACACTTTCCACCATAGAATCAATTGGAATTCCCTTTGTTTCAGGCAAAAGGAAGATAACAAAAAATCCCATAACGACGATCCATCCGGAGAAGAAGAAGAAGATATAGGCTTGCATTGTGCACAGCATTGTCAAGAATGCCTGTGCAATGAGGGAAGTGAAGAGCATGTTAGTACTGACCGCGAACGCAAAACCAGCCGTTCTTGTTTCCAATGGGAATGTCTCACTTGGAATTAGCCACCCGAGCGGTCCCCATGACCACGCGAATGACATTACATACGTGCACACCAGAAGAACCACCACTGCTGCTAGTTTCTTGTCCAATGTTCCTGTCTCCCTCAAATTTGTTACCAATATAGCTCCAATTGCAACCTGAAACATTAAAACCAAACTGCTATCAGAAAAACTGACAAAGGCTTCTCATAGGGGTAAACTGTGCGTACACACTATTCTACTCAGACCCTACAGTATGGGATAATACTGGGTATGTTGTTGTTGTTATTGTTGATGGTAGAATCGTTCTCACTCTGTCCCAATTTATGTGACAGTGCTCACATTTCGAGAGTCAAACTTTTTAGTTTGACCATGAATCGGACATAAAATCTTTAAATTTTTTTAAATATTTGAAAACTACGTAACAAATACTATAACTCACAATAATTAATAATTTACAATATTTATATGGCATATATAGTTGTTGTCATGTGACTAGGAGTCACAGGTTCGAGCCGTGGAAACAGCTTCTTGCAAAAACGCAGGGTAAGACAGCGAACAATAGACCCATGTGGTCAGGCCCTTCCTCGGACCCCTGCATAGTAGGAGCTTAATGCACCAGACTGCCCTTTTTTTATATGACATATAAAAAATCGCGCTAAAAAAAACTCGTTTAACTCTCGAAATCCAAACAATACCACATAATTTGGGATGTAGGGAGTATTAGCCCAAGAGTGGTCAATTGAATTCTTGAAAACTTGAAATTTTAGTGTAGTGACAAAGGGATTCAAAAAAATATTTTCGAATTCTGCCTCCGCCTCTAATAACAATTAATCAATAATGCAAGTAGTATTTTTGATGAATAGTGTACCTGAGAAATTAACATTTGACAACAAGCTTGGAGGAGCAATTTTCTTCTTCCAACCTTATCAACAAGATAGATGGAAACAAATGTACTTCCAACATTAACAAGCCCAGTAATAACAGAGGACAAAAGCGAGCCATCGGTCTTAAAACCCATAGTCTGGAAAAGAACAGGCGCGTAAAACATAATGGCGTTGATTCCAGTAAATTGTTGGAAAATTTGTAACAAAATCGCGATCGCAAGTGGTGGAATACTAGCAGCCTTAGCTAAGTTCCTGAATGGATGTTTCACTTGCTTAGCTTGTTCACAGGCCGCGACAATTTCTTGGTACTCAGCCTCAACATCACTGACACCCCTAATCTTTTTGAGCGCGGCCTTGCCCTGTACCTCTTTGCCGCGCTCAATTAGACTCGTGGGGGTGTCAGTGATGACAAAGGAACCAATAAGTAGAACCATAGCTGGAACAGCTGCAAAGCCAAGTGACATTCTCCAACCATTTGGATGAATCATTGAAGTTCCATAGTTAACAAGATTTGCTATGAATATTCCTATTGTTACAAATAGTTGGAAGAGAATATTCACTGCTCCTCTGTGTTGAATTGGTGCTACTTCAGTCAGAAATAGTGGAACCGTCTGAAAATATTCCAAAAAAAAAAAAAAAAAAAACTTAGACCTTAGTATAATTCACGTGTGTCAAGTAGGCATTTAAAATTGTCTTCCAAGATTTGATTATGACATAAATAATTTTCGAAAAAATACGTACATTTTTTGAAATAGTTTTCCCTATTTGTTTTTTAGATTGTAAAAAATATTTTTCGGATAAAGTATTTTATTAAAAATTAATGATAAAATTAGCAAATCAGATAGCGTTTTGATGAAATGTTTTGAATAGTATTAAACGATGAGAATAATATTTAAATGTTGGTTAACAAAATGCTATGAAGTTACGAGTTGATATAATTATGAAGGAAATTGACTTCCGTCAAAAAAATATTTTCTAAAAAAAATTTACCCTCCCAAATTGTCTGAAATTCGTAATTGAATGAAAGCTATTATAAAGTTGCAACTATTTCAAAATAGTCTAGGAATCTTTAGTATTAAGTTCTATGCACGAGTGTTAAAAAAGATTTATACGATCATATCACATAAAATGCAAATTAAATGCAAATAATTCTTTACACAAATATTATTTGGTAACCTTATACAAAATGGGAAGAAATCTTCTGTTAAAAGATCAATCTGCACTAATATCACAAGAAAATCTTTACATTATCAGTGTATATAACGGTAAATATAATCTTTTTAATTATACGTACCTCATTTCCGAAGCCAACACCAATACCAAATAAAATTCTACCAAAAATGAGCATCCATCTGTTATCAGCGGCGGCGCTCAAGGCGGCTCCGCCGATGAAAAACAGAGCAGCCATGAAAATGGTTGGTCTTCTTCCTAATTTAGTGGCGGCTTTCGACGCGAAAAAACTCGCGACGAGAGCCGATAAGTATAAGGATGAAGTGAAGAGTTGGAGAAGTTGATCATCATATTTACAGTAGTTGTTCTCTTTTGCATGTAACTTTCTTTCATAAACATGTGGGAAAAATTTTAGCAAGAAATCATCCATTCCTGAAACTCCTCCTGATTTAATAAAAAATCCAAAAAGAATAAAATAAATTAATCTGTATACATCATAAACCAACATTTTCTATGAGAAACATAAATTTATACGTGAAAAATCTACTAAAAATTCAAATAAATATTAGATCTATATCAATAATGTTAAAATTAAAACGGGTCCAGTGCTAAGAACCAGCGGTAGTGGCTTAACCACATACAGCGAAGGATGATCGATTCAACATCCTTCATCAAAAATTTATATTGTATACATAGAAAATTATATTGAGCACGGCCAAAAAAAAAAAGAAAGAAAAGAGCTTTCTACGCTCATGAATGCCTCTTCTCTCTTCTCTGAATTCTACAACAAACAAGTGGGAGAGGCAAGATTCGAACCTACTAAAAAAACTTCAACAGATTTACAGTTTACCACTTTTGACCACTCGGCCACTCTCCCCTTCCCAGGCCGAGGCCCCCCTTAATGAATTCTAATTCTAAGAAGGGTGGCGGCGCGGCATATAGAGGCCAAGAATTACATTTTACGCATATTAAAATTTTAAACACCCTTAACAATTTTTTTTATAAGTTTGACATTTCAAGTTAAATCATGAATTCGCCTATAAACAATAAAAACATACCTGAAATACCAATATCATAACCAAACATGAGACCACCAAAAGCAGCAAAAATCCAACAAGAGAGCACATAAATTGTGATTTTAGAATTATTTGTCTCAGCATTCGCCATTTTTGCTTTCTTTTTTGCAATATCAAAAGATAGGTCTATGTAATGCTACACTTTTTTTTGAGTATTTTTTTCTGTTTCTGCTCTTTCCTATATATACAATTTTAAAAACCAGCCAAATGAATATTACATGGAGAAAGAGACAAAGAAATCTAGAGTAGATTAATACTCTATTCTTTGTCTCTTGACTCTCCAGTTTTTTGCCGGAATTTAGTTAATCTTATAAAGTCAATGCCTTTTATAGTTTGAGATTACAGTTAATTCTCTTGCTTACCTTTCGGATAAATTTGTGACTATATTTTAATTAATAGGTTTCTAATGTTTGGTCTCCCAAAAATTTTGGATATCCATTCACCATTAATATTATTTAATTTGTTCTCACTCGGTGTTTTGTATTTATTTTGTCCGTACTCGTATTTGGACTTATAGTAGACTTAAAAATCGAGCAAAATACAAAAATAGTCGATCAGCTGAAATTAATTGTATTGGCTAGTCGAATAGTGTGTACATTGGAGCTGCTATTACAAAAATTATACAAAAGAATTATATATTTTTTCGCTATTATTTTTTAAAGTGGCTAAAAAAAATATTTTTTCAAAAAGTTCCTTGATGTTTGACTGAAGTTCATTCGACGAATAGAAAAAATGAATTTACAAGGGATTAAGTGATATGTATTTTTGCTTAAATTTTAACTGCTAATATTAAAATACTTGATTGCGTATAAACTTTATATTGGGTATGAATAAACTTTTTACGTGCGAGAATGGTCGTATTTGTCTTGATTCATGTGGTCAAGGAAGTTAAAGGGTCATGCATTAATTAGTTCACAAAATTCATGCATTTACTATTTTAAGTGTCACGAATTTAAAAAAATAAACTAATGGGAGGATTTTTGAAGAAAAAACAAAAGGGGACAATTAATGAAATTGTTAAAATGAAGAAAAGGTAACATGGAACAGAAGTTTATTTTGTTAATCTAACGGTTCAATTTTGTATTTTACTAAATAATGTTTAATGTGGTTAAAACATTGAAATCCAAATTCTCCATTTTATTCCTATTTATTTTGCTTTTTCTTTGAAGAATTTTCTTCGCATTAACAAATTTAACATTCTAAGACGTCTGTCAATTCGATTTAATTTTGTCAATTATTTCCTTCTTTTCCTTTTATTTTGTAAATTATTTCCATCATTTTCCTTTTATGTTTATAAAATTTTTAAATGATCCCTTATTTCCTTCTTCTATTTTTGAGTCAACTTTGGGAAAAGAGCACAGAACAAGGCGTAATCTGATTGTGCTTTAAGTATACGTTGACCATTTGACCATCAGTCAATCATTTGAAAAAGGATTATTTTGGAAAATAATTAATAAGCAGACGGTAAATCAGATTACTAACCAAATACTACAGTTTCAATTTGACTAATCCATTTGAAATTTAAATTATTACCATAAAACTATGTTATTAGCATAAATGAAAGATTTTCTTGCCGTGCTTGTTGATATCAGTTGTTGACCAAGCAGCGAACGAAATTTTAATTTTTGTTAGATTTATTTAATTATAATATATTCTTATTCGTTTGAATCATATTGTATTTTTAGATTATTTATAGCACAACCTATATATAATTATGACATTTGACTATCATCCAAAAGTTATTTGATGATTATAAAAGTCGTTTAATTAAATTACATAAAACTTTTATTATTGGGTAAATAAGAGAATAATAAAAATGGATTCTGACTGATTGTCATGTCCTTTCCTTGTGTTGACGAAGATTTTGACCTTGTTGGCCCAAAACGTGTCACGACCCAAATTCCATTATAGGTTGTGATGGCGCCCAACACCGTTGTTAGGCAAGCCAACCTTATTCAACTAGTGAGTTCTCATTTATTTTAATAAATAATCCCAACATTTACTTAACTTAAATTTAAAATAGTCGATAATTAACAAATTTATAAGGCAATTGAATCGGAAAAGACTAAAGGGAATCGTAATAATAGGAATACAAAAAATAATAGTCTACTAATGTGTGTGCCAGGATCTAGTGTCACAAGTACGAGGGCAACTAGTAGAATATACAAAAATATAACTATCATACTGCCTGAAATAGAATAGACAGCAATAACAAAAAGAGAGACTCCGGCATGCTGCTGAACGGCTCAGAAGGGGGCAACTCACCGTGAGATCTCGATCAGGTATCAGGAATGCGCGCCGGACGGGTAGCTAGATGCACCTGCCTCAGATCTTGTACAATTAAGTACAGAAGCGTAGTATGAGTACATAAACAACATGTACCCAGCAAGCATCAAGTCTAACCTCGAAGAAGTAGTGACGAGGGGTCGACTTGACACCTACTAGGGTCAATAATAATACAGTTTAAGTGTTACGCTAAGCATGGATAGCATGAATACAAATGACAGTCCAAGAACAAGGAGAAATAAGATATTCTTCCATAAACAGCATATCAGTTTCAGTCATATCATGTAATAACTTACCTTCCAAAGTATTTAAGCAGTGTAAATCACAGAAAGTTCTACATAAATAACATGCGCATATTGTGCCGAGGTCGTACAGCCCGGTCGAATATATAATTAAATTATGCACTGCCAGAGGGCCGAATGCGCGAATTATAGATGATCTATTTACTACCGAGGCGCTCGACCCGATCCACAAATAACAATTTATTATCAAGGAAGCACACATTGTCCATTTATAGTCAAGTAATTCATACAAATTCTCAAGCAAGTAAGTATAGCCGTCTATATTTGATTACCAGTTTCCAGCATGACTTAAGTGATCTTAGTAGCAAGTAAGGACGCAAGCATTGCAAGTATAGCATGATACGGGTCCTAAACTATCCGGAAAATTAGCATAACAGTAGCTACGTGCGGACTCTCGATACCACGTACGTACGTAGCCCCCACAGATAGTTACATACATTTATTTAACTCACCTATGGAGTTAATTCCCTCTTACAAGGTTAGAAAGGAGACTTACCTTACCCCTAAGCTTACGTCCAAATTCAAGAATGCACTCAAAACCTCAAATCGGGGCCGGACGATCCAAAACTATTCAAGGTAAGAACTAGTCAATATATGCTCAAGAGTTCATATTCTAACTATTGAAATAATTTCCCCACCTTAAATGCAAGGTTCCTAAAATTCATCCCCAGGTCCACGTGCCCGGATTTCGGAAATTTTCGAAGAAAGTCGTTACCCATAACCTTAGGATCAAGAATATATGATTTCTACTACATTCCATAACAAATTTCGTGGTTAAATCTCATTTTTATCAAAACCCTGGGTTTTACGCTAAACCTATAATTTCCACTAATTTGCATATTGTAATCTAAAAAACTATGTATTAAACTTTCATTAAGTAGAAATTACTTACCTCACAAAGCTAGGTTGAAATCTCCCCTTTTGAATCTCCCAAATCGCCCAAGGATGGAGTGAAATGTGTCAAAAATGACAAACTACCGTATTAAATGAAGTCCATTGCCTTCAGCAGTTTCCGCACCTGCAGTGCGCTGACCGCATCTACGGTCTCGCTTCTACGGGAGAATGTCTGCTTCTGTGGAAATGGGTCGGGCCAGCTAGGGCCGCATCTGCGGTCGGGTGACTGCTCCTGCGGTTCTGCTTTTGCGGATGAGGAGCCGCATCTGCGTAACCTGGGCTCCTCCCCTTGGACCGCATCTACGATGTTTCAGCCGCTTTTGCGGGCTCCCACTTGCGGCTGGCCAACCGCAGGTGCGGTTATGACAGCAACTGGAACTTCAGCTCCTTCTCAAATTTTCAACTTAGCTCGAGCCTCGTTTGATTGACGCTCGGGGCCCCCGGGACCCCGACCGAGCTACCGACAAGTTTGGAATCATAAAACTGACTCGCTCGAACCCTTGAACGCCCGAAAAAACATTAAAACTAAGAGTCACACTCTAAAACCAATTGGATCAAACTTATGAACTTTAAGTCCTTCGATTTACTTCCAATGTGCCGAAACGTACTTATACTACTCGGAATAATACCAAATTTTGCGTGCGAGTATTAAATAACATTATGGAACTACTCCCGGTCTCGGAATTTCGTTCGGACCTCGATGTCACAAAAACCCGCTCCTAACCAAATTTTAAAGAACTTCAAAATCCTTAAGGAATCAACTTTCACTATTAGGCGCCAAAGCGCTCCCGGGTCATCCAAAACCCGTTCCAGACATACGCCCAAGTCGGAAATCATCATACGAACCTGTTGGAACCTTCAAATCTCGATTCCGAGGTCGTTTACTCAAAATGTTGACCTAAGTAAAACTTGGCCTTTTAAGCCAACCTTAAGGAACCAAGTGTTCCGATTTCAACCCAAACTCTTCCATATCCCGAACCAACCATCCCCGCTAGTCATAAATCAGTAAAAGCAAGTACGGAAAGTCTTATTTAGGGAAACGGGGTTCTAGAAAGCAAAACGACCAGTCGGGTTGTTACTTTCTCCACCTCTTAAACAAATATTTTTCTTCGAACGGACATAGAAAAGTACCTGAGCTGGTAAAAAGGTGGGGATATCTGCTCCGTATATCGGACTCGGACTCCAGGTAGCTGCCTCAACAGGCTGACCTCTCCACTGCACTCGAACCGAAGGATAATTCTTCGATCTCAATTGATGAACCTGCCGGTCTAGAATAGCTACCGGCTCCTCCTCGTAGGTCAAATCCTTGTCCAACTGGACAGTGCTGAAATCTAACACGTGGGATGGATTACCGTGATACTTCCGAAGCATGGGCACATGGAATACTGGATGTACCGCTGATAAGCCTGGCTGGGAAAGCATAACATCGGGGCTGGGCCCTACCACTCCGAACCATATCCTTGGGACGGCCTCCTGCTGGCTGGCCTCCACCTCTAGCAGCCTGGCCTCCATCTCTAACTGCCTGACCTTCACCTCTAGTGGCCTGACCTCTACCTCTGGTTCCCTGACCCCTACCTCTAGCTGGCTGAGCGGGCGGTGGCACGCCCAGTGCCGGAATCATGACACGAGAGTTTACATATATTCAGTAATTCTCCACCCGCGGTCATCAGCTTCGCGGGACTTCTATATTTTTCTGCTCCCGTCAGTGTGTCTAGAGTTTACTTTTTTCAGGAAAGCTAAATTTTTTAGTCTTCCAGGGGGATCGAATCTTAACTAACTGACGTATTGTAATATCAACCAGCCTTCAGAATTGCTAA